TGAGCTCTCTTGTTTGGATGTAAACAGATGATGATCTTCTCACTTCACGGACCTCTGCAATGCTGCTGTTTTCCAGCAGCTGCTGAAATTGTGGTATCACCAAGTGAGTCAATGCCATGCCCTTTAGATGCAAAACAGCACAATGATAAAGTGAGCTTCACACGAGCATGGTTAGAGACTTTCCATTTTGATATTGGTATGCATGAAACATATTTCACACAATGGAAAGGATGTTCTATTGAATCCCTGCCTCCATCCCCTTCTTCGCTTCTGTTTTCATCCTGAGCGCACTGGATGACTTTTTATTTTGAAATGCTAATCATTTAGAAAAATAGTTTGAATGTTAAATCTTAAAGGAACAGTACATAAATGAGATCATAGCATGAAAAAATTAATCTGCATTATGGTCTAGCAACTAAGGTCCTTTGTATCCTGGTATATTTAATGCATGACAGGAATCTATATTTTGTTGCAATTCAGACACTCTGCGGCGCCCTACCGCTAGGGAAGCTAAGGAAATTGTAGATGTTTCTGAATTGCAATGAAATATATCCAAATCCACCTTGAGGATGCAGAGTTTCTAATTTAAAAAGTAGACAAAGAAACTGAATAAATATTATTAAAAATGCATATAATCATAATAAGCACCAATTACAGTATTACACAAATAGTGAAGTGCATGGACCTTCTTTAAACAAGACAAGTGAACATTTTATTAGTATTGCTTCCAACTCCATGTCAGATTTTTAGTAAACATTGGTTTGGAATCCATTGAAAAGGATCAGCACCAAATTTCACTCATATTACAGATAATTATTCTGACATTAGTTGCTAGTGCCTTTATCCCTTCCACCAAACAGACCCAAGAAAGTGCCTCTGTGTGCAGCGGTATATGTTAGGTCTAGCAGAGATGGTTTACCCTCTGTTAGGATGTGAATGATGCCAGATGAAAAAAAAGATCCATGGCTGTCATGCACTTAATTATGTCCTTAAGTAGCAAAGCATTATATTCTTTACATATACCAGTCCAATTCAAAAGGGAATATCCATAGTTTTTCAACATATTTTCTTTTCTTTTTTGTTTGTGTACCATGCATCCTTTCAGGATCTCTACCTCTGTGAGGTCATTGCAGGGCTTCCTATACCATAATGCAAAATGGAACCTTAACTGTAAACTACAGTCATGCAATATTGAATGTGAGAGTCCCAAAGCCCAGCATTTACACAGTTACTTATGTACCACAATCATGCTCCTGTTTTCACTTAAAGCTACGCGCAATCACAACATTCATGTGCATGTAAAGCTGTTTCACTCTCCCAAAAGGAAGAAGAGACTATTTTATATATTAGTTTCTTTGAAACAATAGAGTCTAAAGCTTCTGTTGTGTCCCGGAGACACGGCAGCAGAGAAGTTTGGTTTAGGTTTTAAACCTGCTATAACTGTAATCTATGGGCATTATGATGCACACCAAAGGGAAGCCTGTCTTTTTGCACAGCCATTTTGATCCACTGTTTGAACCATTTTTGCAAGCTGGACATTTTTCTTTTTCATTGTGCTTGCTCACACATAGTGCATTGTTTCTCAACATGTTGTGCTGGACAGGCTAACTGCAGACAGATGGGGACAAACTGTACTGTCTACTTGAAAATCTCCAGCTACTGTACATCAACATATACTCAGTACTGAGATAAATTAATCCAAATGATAGTAAGATTTTGTACTGTATGCTCTTATTTTAAGCTAGCACTCTCCTGACAAAGTCCTGTAAAAAAAAAAAGCACCACTGCAGTGTTACTTAAATGTTATGGTTGTTTCTTTTTGTGCAGTGGCTGTCCTTTGTGTTGTTACTTTCACATGTTATCTGAAGCTGAAGCAAGCCTTTGTTAATAGTTTTGGACAAAACAATTGTGTTCTTAACTGTTTTGTCACTGGTGGCTGGTTGGTTAGTTTGGGGCACTGTTTGCAATTTTATTTAGAACTGATCTTTGTACTGTACTGTTGAAGAGTGTCTTGCCTCAGGTGAGGGTCACGAGCCTTGTTAGATGTCAGCAACTTATCATAAGAGCAAAAAAGAGACATGTCAGGGATTTTTCACTTTGTAAAAAGTTTGTGATGCAGAAGGATGCCAATTATACTGAACACCATATATTTAATTTGCTATATAAAATAATACAAGGAAATTATAACAGTCTCATGAATACAGCTCTCAGTAAACTGTACAGTATGCTATGGTCACAGGTTTCTCGTTTGGCCGATGCTTGAGAGTAGTGATGTGTGTAACATGTCCTGCATGAAACAATCCACGCGTGAGGTAAAAAAATATACAAAGGATACCCCTCACATTAGAAGTGCTGTTGCTACTCTCGCTATGAGGGTACTCTCGCTATGAGGGCTATATGGATGGTGCTATGCATTCAAGTAGCCAACAGAAACATGCATTCTTAACAGCAATATAATAACAAATAACCTGTTTCTTAAACAGTTTTTTGTATATAAAAGGGAAAACAAATCTATTTTGAACTTGCAGATACTCACAACAGGACTGTTTATATATCAATCTCCTCTTCGTGGATTTTGTAAGCTTGGGGGGGTCAAATGTAGATAGAGGCTGACATTTTGCTGAGACCCCCTCCTTAACCTCCCAGGTTAGACTGTAGTTTGTTTGGTGAGAACAAAGGCTGCTGGATGGTTGAGCCTATAACACAGGCCCAAAGGAACAGCCCATAATGCACAGAGAGAGGCTCTGTTGTCAGTTTGATTAGCTGTATCAGAGAAAGTCAGAGAAGGTGCCTACATTATTTTTACAAATTTTACATATTTATTTTTTGATTACTGTCAGATGTTATGTTTCTGCAAATAAACACTAGTAAATCCATATGAGTCGACATTAACCTGATGAAACTATAATATAAAACAAAACCCCATTAGATCAAAATCCTATTTAACTACAATAAAATAGAGAAAAGTAGCCAATATATGCTGTAGTTAGATATGAAAAACAATTCTGTGTTTTGATTTCCCCAGGTTTTGGTGGCACTGTAACTGATTTAGGAAGCATATAGTGGAATATCAAAGATAATATGTTCATCTGGCAAGCCATGATGATTAAAACACTGTATTATGATCAGTGGTTATATGCTAAATGATATTGACAAGAAGTGTTTTGTTACTCAAGAGAAAAAACAGGATTCATTCAAATACCATGTTCACCTTTTTTACAATCTCCACAGCTAAACCTATATTACAGTGTATCTACAGAAATCTACTGATTGCAAAAAAACTGCATGGTCGATGGAAGACTGCATGAGCCTTGCCTTTCAAAGTGTGGATCAGCTATAATATAGTTGCACCATTTAAAGCAAAACCCTTGCTTTCATCTGCACCCAGGCTGCCTGTGAAAGGCCCTGTTCAGAAGCCGTTGTAAAGTGTGTCCTTTGCTGGATTTTTTATAAGCACCTTAGCACTGGCTGCGCGTCAAAGTTGGGCATCCGAGCCACACGCACCATTTGTGTGTGATGGTCAGGTTGTGCTTGTTAGGCTCTAAATGTGAGCTAGGACACTAAGAGCTAGTTTCTGCAACTTTATCTCTAATTTGAGACTGTAAGGCTCGAGTGACATTTCGATCATTGTTGTCTCAGTCCAGACTGTAGTGATACTGTGTTGTGGGAAACATGCCCATCATGTCTAAACAGGGCCTGTGCCACATGGCCTCCTCTGTACTACACTGGTTTTAGGGTTTTTTGTTTTCTGAAGGTCTTCTTGGTAGACTGCTTTCCGCCTGCTGAGGCGACACTGAACAGGATCAAATGTTGGGATTTTTTGTGTACCTCTTGTTTGTGTTTGAAGTGCAATGGCTATAAGTTTGTCTTTTCAGTCATGAATGCACATTTAATTGCTAGCAGGGTCATTCTGGAGCAAATCACGAAAGGACTGTTGAATTCTTCTTTTCATCCACAACCATCTAATCCAGCTGTCATTCTTACTGTATGCTGTGTTTTCCAAGGATTATGCTACAAAGTGTTCAGTTTGTCAGATGATGACAAAGGCATGGTCTGTGATCTATGCAAGGGTTATTTGTTGTTATTTGACTTATATCACTTACGATTTCATCTTACATTATCTTCAATAAATTTTTAAGGATCTGCTGGTGTGTTTTCATTGCGGCTCGGCATGGGGAACCACCTTGTACACTAAGTTGTCACCTGCTGTCTGTGAATGCACTAACAGGAGCAATATGCAGTGTGCAGTGTTGCAGAACTAAATGTGTCCTACCTCTGTACTAGCCTCTCACTGAAGCCATTAGCAGTGATTCACGAGGTTAAGGCAATGGCTCCACACTAATCCTCCTGTCCCACAAGAGGTTTGCTTACACACCTCAGAGTTCTGAAGAACTCCCCTTCACTTTTTTCTCCTTTCATCACATGGACACATGCATACAACTAGTGTGACTCTGAGGTACTGTGCTGAGCATAGCGTTGTGAAGCTATTAGGGCTGCAACTTACATTTATTTTCATCTAGGAATGTCAGAAAATAGTTGAAAATGCCTACTGCCATTTTGTAAAGCTCACTGTGACATTTGCAAACCAACAGCCCAAACATTTTCAGTCTACTCTCACAAATTACAAAGAATATGAGCAAATCCTCACATCTAAGAAGATGCAGCAAGAAAATATTTGGTAGTTTGGCTTGAAAACTGAATTAAAATAAATGATCAAAGTAGT